TGAATGCCATGTTTTAAAGGTCAAGGTCAGTAAAATAAGTACAAGCACATTTCACAACTTTTGTGACACAGGAAAGCCTGCAAAACACACACACACACACACACACACACACTACTGTATATAAGTATGTATGCATGCACATACAGAGATGTATACAGATTCTGTTTTCCTGCTGAAATAATCAGGGTGCACGAAGTCCAAACAAGAATAGCAAATTCTACCACCAGGTGGAGCTTAGCTTCCATTAAAGCAGCAGATACATAAAAAGATTTCAAGAGCTTGTTTGAATTATTTGTATACCTTAAGAAAAGATTGAAATAAAAAGTACACTTTAAAGGAGACAACGCTTTAAAAGCCTGTTACAAAGGCCAGTTATCGAGGACTTGAAGTATTTTTCATGAGAGTGCACAACTGATCAGGTGCTCAGGGGCCACTCATAAATGATCTGACAACTGACTTCCTTCCTGCTCTTTTCCTTTTCCTTGTAGGAGAATGTTAAATTCCTAACCATTTAAGCACTCTCTGTTAAATAAAAATCACAGGCACCACTATAACAGGACCTAAAGAGTAAAATTACAAAAGAGGATAATTATAAAATTACGCGAAGACTGATATGTGTAAGTTACACATCAGAACATGTATCCTCCGTTAGATGAAATTAAATTTCAGTGCATAAAACATCTAATGCAGTGTCCGAAATAGCTGGTAATAGAAGTTACTTCTGCCACAGTTGCAAATGCGACAACCACTTTATGATTAAGCCCTACCAAGTCAATATTCTCCATGTCTATGAAACGCTCACTGTGTGCTCAAAGCATATCTAGGCCTTGGAGAGCAGCCAATTATAAACTCAGATATGATATTTGTCCTTAAACCATGGAGAAAAATACTATACAAATTAGTGTGCCTGACTCTGCATGTAAACTGTTAGGAATTTGTATCTTCTAAGTACTCTAAGGAATGGAGAGGTCAGGGAAGCTATGCTAGTAGAGTGGAAACAGGACTGAATATTGCAGGAAGGATGGGCATTGAATCAACAGAGGACAGGCGCCATGCTCCTAGGAAGAGCAAGAACACAAGTCAAAGTGCACAGCAGGTGTGTGGTCAGCAAAGCAACAGGCCCGATTGCACGGCAGGTGCATTTTGGCCTAAAGAGTACATTTAGACAGGAAATTTAGAGAGGTGGATTAAGATGATGGGCCCTAGTGAAAGACAAATGGTGGATTTACTTGCTAGAGAAGTAGGTAGAACATTACTGAAGATTGTGGGTCAGTAATGCAGAATGGGGAGAGCATCATTTACATGGCTTAGCGAAGGGAAAGAAAATCTGGGAGGCTCACTCAATATTAAGCCTGCCTGCCTGCCAAACTTCTTTTACACCTGTTACCAACATTTACTATTCTAGTTTCAAGGAAAATAGAGGTGTGTGAAACATGTCTTCTACTTTTAAGTTGTCTAGTGGTAAAATACTATAAGTTCTGTAATGGCAGGAAAAGAACTATGTAAGTATAGATGCAGAGGCAACGATTAAAATATGTATAAAAAGATAACAGAATAGAGCAGGTCAGGCAGTAACAATGTGTTAAAAGGTGCAAGGCAAAAGAATAGAGTTACCAGGAAATGGTACGAGGTTTGTTGGTGTGTGTGGCATATAAGGCATGAGTAGCTTATAGTGATGAGGGCAGAAACCAAAACGATGGCAGAAATGGAGAAGTGAGCCTAGATTTAATGGATAGTTCAAAGAAAGATACAGAGATGCATAAGGAACAACTGTGGTACAAGGTTAAACAACAGGGTCCAAAACTCCCAAAGAGGGATTAGAGTGGGGGCACTATTAATATTGACAAGATGTGAATTTGGGGAACAAATGAAACTTGAGAAGGAAAAGAGAACCTCCGTTTTTTATTAAGTTTAACTTAATAGTAACAAATCCAAAGGTAAACATTTTTGGTAAGTAGGATCTTTACGTGGTATTTGTTGGGTGGGGAGGGGTTCAGGAGAGACCAGACAACGGTGCTGAAATGAGTAGCAGTCATCATCTGCATCCCTCTTTTAATACTTACTATATGGAAGCCACGATTACTTGAGTAATTCATTTGTGTTTTGTTTTTTGTGCTTTTTCCTCCCACTTATATTTAGAGCTTGTACCCTGGCTTTATTCTTGCTGTGGGGATTTTGGAAAGGGGGAAAGCAGAAAGAACCTAAAATTACAGGTGCTGTTGTTCTGGTGTAAAAGCCAAATTCCATTAGATTTACTAATGATCCCTGAGTAATGGGAACAGAGGAAAGACTTTAAGGCAGGAAGAGAAAGAGATCAGGAAGGGGATGATGGGACCCAGGTTGGGATTTTATTGTTGGCCCTGTGAGAAGAGTGGGGACTGACAGCTGAGGACCAGAGGGGCAGTTAGGATGCTCTGATGCTTCTTGAGACCCAGGGACTTCCTAGACTTCCTATATCCCTGATGTGAAAGGAGCCTGCAGGATGCCTGAAGTCGACTTTTACTCTAACCCCATAGGATTGGAGCTTGGAATCAGATATAAGTTGGTTTTTTAAACATAGGTATTTTTAGACACACAAATTTATGAATTGAGATTCCGACACATTACAGAGGCTCCAATGGAGTCTTAGATATCACGTGATCTAGGTGTTCCATCTCTCTTGCTAAACAATATTGTACATTTCTCAAGGGTTTATATCTGAACAGATAAAGGCTTAATTAAAGGGTGTTGATACTGTTGAGAGACTGAAATTAAATTTCATGCCTGAAAGGGACCTTAGCAGGTTACTGTTACATTTGATGAAAACTGGCATTAACCAGATAGTAAAAACTTAATGCTTAGCCTCAAGGAGATTACATCTTAAAAGTGGACAGAGATGTATGAAGAGAACATTTCAATAAAATATGTAATCAGTAAGTGAAGTTATCCACTGGTGCTATGTGAAGACTGGCAAAAGAGGATGTGCTGTCTTACTTGAAGGCTTCGGGAAGAAATTAAGTATGAGCCTAAGTGAAATCTTAATGACTAAGGCCATAATGAGACAAAGGATCTTCCACCTCAAATGTCCAAACTTTCTCTCCTCTGAACTCCTATCAATGCCAAATATACCACTTATTTCCCTTTACCACATCACTTTCCATTGTCATAATTTTCATTTGTTTTTCTCACCTTGCCAGAGAAAATGCCAAGGAGAATAGGAATCCTATTTTATCTCCTTGCAGAATTTCCACAGGACCTAGAGGTCTTGAACATAAGAGATGCTCAGTAATTCTGGATTTGGTCTGCTGTGTAGTTCTCATCTTACTCACCAGGAGACACACATCTGTTGCTAATGACTAACTCTGCCAGTTGGCCTGAGGCCTATAGAAGAAATCAAAACAAAAACTGGAACACAACTGATTAAGTAGATTCTCAACAGTTTTTATCACCGTATCTATTATTAGTCATTTCTTAATGTCATTTATAACATTTCTTATAGTTACTGATAACTTTTTGATCCTATTGATGAGAAGTGTAGAGGAAATTCAAAAAATGCTGGATCTTGGCACTGGCCGTGCCCCCTGTGAGTTGTGTGATCTCAGGAATCTCACCGGCCTGTAGAAGCTTCAGGCTCATCTGCCATATATGGGCTAACTGAGCTCTCATGACGGGTACGTCAGATATGCAAACATTTTTAGGAAAAGATTAAAATGCAACTTAATGGCAACTAGTATTGAATAACTATCCCTAAGCACTCTTTTGCTCTAATAAAGATGACAGAGATTGTGTAAAGAAAAAAAGGCAGAGTCCTTCTTTTACATACTTCACCCTTACTTTGTGTCACTTTTCAAAATGGTCTTTATTTATGTCTCATAAAATATTTCTCCCAGTTAGATAAGAGATATTTTTTGGGGAAAAAAAGATCATTGTCTTAGTGTTGCAAGTTGACCATGGCTAAGACTAAAAAAATCCAGACTTTAGGAAATGTATCACTATTCACACTATTTTCTGGTTAATGTGTTGGCCACATGACAATTTGTCTTGAAGAGAAGGGATGATCGTGCCATCACCCACTCGGGGGAGTGTCTCATCTTGAGATACAACAGGTTCTTCAAGTGGGAGTGCAGTAGAGGGTAGGAACTGCTTGCTCTCTGGTCCAGAAATGATGGGGCCCAAACCTTCAGCAATCCAGTGTTTCTGATAGTGAGCCAAGTGGAGACAGGCCTGATGTGAGTGACAGTCTACCTTTGCTTCTCACTCGCAGCAGAACATATCCATGCTGCAACAGAAAGATGACTCCTTGATCAAGCTCTCTGAGTGAGCTGTAAGAACATCCAAGATCGATACCCCAGATACAAGGAATCCCTCCTCTGGGGCTGCAGTGGGACACACAGGCAGAGCCAGGACGAGAGGTGGCAGAGCCCAGAGTGGCTTTCTCATGAGCGTCACTAGTAACAGAGGTTATAGCATGGCAACGCAGTGAAAAATAAAGAGTAAAAGAAATGAAGGGACTTATTTCTAGAGCATTCATGAAATTGCAGGGAGGATACTGTGAGTCAGGTTGGCCACTGGTGGAAACCACATGGGTTCGTTTTAACAATGTGGGTTTACAAAACAAGAGTGTGAAATCACTTTACGTCAGGGGCTAGGTGAGGCCTCCATTACTAAATTTATACAATTACTTAAAAATTGTGTTGAATCTGCATTGCCAATCGGTATTGTTAATTATACAAATTACTATGTATTTATTGTGTACGAGGTATATTTTCTCTATTTTTCCTATTTGAGATACACTTTGCTAAATCAGCGATAGTGAATCTCTATAAGTTCTTCCTACACATGCATACAAAGCACAAGGTCACAGTGCATTTTTTATAACAATTCTTTCAAAAAAAAAACCATGGACATGAAAATAACATATCCACACTTTTTTCTTTCTCTACATTCTCTCTCTCCACACACATATTCATATACATATGCACACACAGAAAATGAAGAAGAAATTAATAGAGATATCATAATGGTGATAAAACTTTTAATAGCTTAAAGGAAATTAAAATTAAGGGGAAGTTTTACATTTAAGTTTTATTTCTGGAGGAAATAAAGGAAATAAAGAGACCACAATTTTCAATTCATATGCTGAGATAGATAGTTGGAAGAAGAGACTATATCAAAAAAACACCAGAGGAAAAATCCCCAGTCCACCAAACTGTCATTCACTGTAGTCACAGATTAATGTAGATGTGTAGCATCACGAATTATTAGTGATAAAGATAAATAATTTACATATTACATATTTTATCTGCTGAAATAATATCAAGCAGGAGCTTCAGAGTTGAAAGTTTATTGATATTAAGGAACTAAAAGTTAGTGAAAGAAAAATGAAATTCCATTTAGGCAATATATATACGTTTGGGAAAAACTAGTGGTATGCATAACTCCATCATTAACCCAAATCTTTTAATATCCATTAAGATTCCCAAACCAAAGCCAAGAATATTTGGTCTATAGTTGCCTCTCCTGGCTGTCCCATGAAAGCATATTGCACTGATCTTCAATTCCTGATTCTTGGTAGAACTTACGGATATTCCCACTGGGATACTCAAAATTCTTAATTTGTTTACACGTTTTGGCTTCTTTCCAGACTTTATGTGAACAGTAACTGATCCAAGAAACAAACAGGCGGAAATGTCTCTGAATAGCATTCTTTGACTATCAGGTCATACATACCTCCATTCAGTGTAAGAGGGAACTAAATTCCTGAACTGGGCCGTTCAATAATACATTTTTAACACTCAGGGGGGATTAAAGGGAATCATTTTTCTATTCAAACAAGAAAAAGGAACTATGAACTTAACAGGGTCTTAAAAACACACACAGGATGGGAGAGAAATTCCTTCAAACTATTGAAAAAATTAGTAACATGCAGATTTTATCATCTATTTCCTTCTCCTCAAAGGGATGTTTTGTTATCCACTTAGACTGAAGAGCTTGCCTTCAACCAAATTAAGGGCTCAGATGTAAAGAATAAGAAAGGGGAAAAAAAGAAAAACCTCACATACCAACAAGACTGAAGAGCTTGCCTTCAACCAAATTAAGGGCTCAGATGTAAAGAATAAGAAAGGGGAAAAAAAGAAAAACCTCACATACCAACAAACCAACCAATTTCAATAGCCCATTTTATAATGAGGTAGAACAAAGAACAAAATGGATAGCTCCAGAATGGCAAACCTCCAGAAACCTCATTCAGTTAATCTTCAAGATGCTTTGCCAAACCTTATCCAAATAACCCAATTATTACAGTCTACAGACTAGTGGAAATTCTTACAAAATTGGCTTCCTTGTGGAATCTCAAATCATGTCTCCATTCAGGTCAAAAAGATCACTAGGATTGCCTTGGTGAAGTTTTTGCCTCTAGGCTGAGCTGCAATTTTGCAAAATGGAAAATGAGGGAATGCATCCAGGTAAAATTCTGGATGCAGATTTAAATCAGATTTTTTTAAAAAAAAAACTTAAGTAAAGAACAACCCTTCCTAGTTATAATCTAATTCCTGGAAAAACTGTCCAGAGAGAGTCAGAAATTCTGCATCCCCAAACCCAGTTTGGCTTTCAGTATGCTGGGCGATCAAGCGTTCCTTAATCTCTGCATATGAGTTTTTTGCAACTGTCACGTCGCAAGGTTGATACAGACCTACCTCACAGAGACCCTGCAAGGATTAATTAAAGTTAAACTGGAAGGAAAAAAGTGCACTTAACAAGTCAGGCTTTATCCGTGCTGCTAAAGAGACCCAGATGTTTTAACAACTGCTCAGATTATTTGGTAGCATCCTCAACTAAGTAGAGAATGAATTTACATAATGCATTTCAGCTGTGAAGACATTCGTAAAAATCAAAGATTTCAGTATTTCAGATGGTAAGAGAAAACAATCTGGCTCCTTTCCGATCTAGCTCATCACACTGGACACCATTCACCCCCAAATCTTCCCATTGAGCAAATATTGTGATACATGCTTAGGACTGTCTAATGGCTAGGGAAGACTCCTCACACCTAGGCATTTTTCTAGACTTTCCTTTCTCCTATAAACATGATGAATGGATTTCTGCTTCTCTGTGCATGTTGTCTTGTGTGCTGGGACATAAATGGCCCTACACAACTCTGGTTCATCAAGAAAGTACTTACTTCTACTTTTTAATCTTACACTTTCGTTATTCACGTATGTCTGATCATTCACTGCCTGAGCAAACTCCTACAACTTTAGAGCCCACAGAGATGGGTGGCACTGATAGTAACTGTAGGTCGCTATCAGTCCTTGTTGAGTATACTGACATGTGCAGAGCCAGGGACGTTCCAAAATATGTTTGTGTGTTGGGGGTGGTGATGGGCAAAGGAAAGGAACGGTACAGAAACACTGGAAGACAACGGGATTGAGCCTTTTTTTTTTCTCTTGCTATTTAAGAAAAAAAAAGGTATTTGAGATTTCCATCTTTGAGGATCATTCTTTAAGGGATCTTAGAATAGTATGTTTTGTAATATTGCATTGCACTGTGTTAGGAATATAAGCTCTAAAGTGAGAGAAGCCTATTTGAATCTCATTTCTCCCACTTGCTGCTGGGGTGAGTCTGAATATGTTTATTTAAAATGTATGTGCCTTGGTTTCCTTGTTTTTTAAATAGAGATTGGTATAGTATCAGTACACAGAGTTATTCTGAAGAAAAAACAAAGGTACAGGCAAAGCATGAAGAACAGTTTCTAGAACAAGAGTAATCATTCAATAAATGTTAGCTATTTTTACTATTATTTTAAGTGCCTGTATTTTAACTCAAAATCATCTTAGGCCTAAGAAAGTTTAACCTCTTTTGTAAATTTTTCTAAAACATTCAGGTCTATTTTTCTCTTTTCATAACTATTGAAAACCTTCAGAACCTTCTCATACTTTGGGATCATGACTCTGACCAGCATTTCTCCTCATAAGCATTCTACTTTAGCAACATGTGTGTCTCCAGATACCTCCTAGGCTTGTGAGGACAAATATGTCATGCACCGCCACAGAGCTTCTTGACTACCACTTGGCGTGCAACAAAGTTTCAAAACTTACTACTAGCAAAAAACAAGGAGCATTTATGCAGCTCACCTGCCTGGTGGAGGTCACCTGAACTGGCCTAGGGAGCCCTGCTGATCTCAGTTGGGCTTCTTCATCCATTTGTTGATTAGCTGGAGATCGACTGATCTGGGCTTTGTTTTCCTTTTGGAGACAGCGGGCCGGGCAGGACATGTTCCTCTCAAGGTGGGGGCAAGAGCAGAAAGGAGCAAGCAGCGACATGCAAAGTCTCTCGAGGCTAGCCTCAGTCATGCACGGCCAATTCAGCCTCACTCTACTGGTCAGAGCAGGTTACACGATGAATCCCAAAGTCAACAAATGCACATATATTCTTCCTATGGGAGCTGAGTGGAGAGAAAGAATATTTCTGAACCAGAATTCAACGCACTACGCCCATGCAGACATTGTTAACTGATCACAATACTCTTTTCCATTGTGACTGAATAGAGCTTTTATATCCTTAATGGCCACTGTAATTGCTAGGATACCTGCTAAATATGAGGGGAAGAAGAAAAAAAATCTAAATGAGACTTCTGATTTTGCAGATTTTTAATATATCTTACAGAATAATAAATCTGGATCTCAAATTCCATCTGTAATATAAAACATCACACTGTTACTTTTTTGAGAGTAAATGTTATATTTAGTTATTCAATTATGATCGAGTTAGTATGAAAAAATATGTATATACACACTAAATATCAATGATAATTGCCATTGGATTTTAAAATACCATTAAGTATTTAGTTATTTATCAATCACGTATTTTTTCTTAAAAGAGAATATACTGAGAATCTTTAATAGTGTGTTACTTTTCATTTAAAAAATGCACACATTTTTTACAATTTTGAAACTAAAAATGTACAAGAACATATATAAATGGTACAATGCCCAAACCACCCACAAGCCAGTTCTAATTCACTTATTTTGAACCGTACTAACAAATCCTAAAATGATACATACTTTTTCATTTATTCTGTTTATTTTTTAATTAAACTTTGAAAATAAATTCACTTTTTCTTCATCAAAATGGCTGTAACATTTTAATTCAAATATTATTTACTCTTCCTTGGCCTAATTAGTTTCAACATTAAAAGGAAATAAAATTTGCAGATTTAATATAAGAAAATGTTCTACTGCAACTTGATTTTTATAAAATGATCATTATATTTACATGTATTAAGTAAAATTTGATAGTGATAACCAGCATTACCTGTTAAACCAATGCAAAACGTTTGAAGTGACCACAGGAAGAATGGCGCTGGTAGAACATAGGGGTCCAATTCTTACCCATAAATTCATATACTTCCAACAACTTATCTCTCAAACTGAGCAGTTTTATGAAAAAAAATTGCACCTCTTACCAATATGACATTAGCCAAACCACTGATCACACTGTTAAATTCCATAAAAGTCTAACGAAATTGCATTTAATTAACTAGCAAACATTTAGAAAGAAAATAGTTATTCACAAAATTTTCCACAGGTAGAAAACAATTTGAGCAATGCTGAAGCATAACTTAACTATTATTTTAGAAGACATTTTAGAAAATAAAGTGAAAATAGACAGTTCCCATGAAAGAAGCAGTGATGAAAATTTAACAATAAAGTTGCCTCTGGATCTCTCAGACACTAAGAACAACCAATTTATCTTTCTCTCTTGGCCAATAATTCTTTCCATTTCCTTCACCCCTAGCTACAATTTCTGTATGTTGGAAAGATGGCTGGAAAGCTATAAGCTTCAGGACTTTCCTCTGGTCATTGGGATGATCTGTCCCTCTTTGTCCATTCCCCCAGTGCTCACTGAGAGCTTCTGGCTTACTTCCCACAGCCTCTCAGCTGGATGTCCTTTGCCAGCATCATAATTAAACAGGGAGCTGAGCTTCAAACTTAGCATTAGTGGTCCTGAGTTTAATCTCTACCTCTTGTTATTAGGCAGCCACAGGGCTCTCCACAAGGTAGCTAAGATCTCTGAACCTCAAGTTCCATCCACACAATAAAGGATGTGGGAAGACTTCTTCAAATTATTTTCAAAGCTGTCAATCACTTTGTAAACTGTAAGGAAAAAAATCAAATGAGATGATAAGGGTGATGCTGACGGTGGTGATTATTTCAGTCACAGTTTAAGATTGCCTAGGGTAAAGTCATTAATCATCGCTCCCAGATAAATTCTTGTCTGGCTCAACAATCCATTAATAATTTGGAATTTAAGATGACTTAACCAGCACTCAATTGATACAGTAATTTTGCTGTGCCATAGATATACTGTTTCTGCCTTTTACTTAAAGGCACTTTCTCTTTAAAACCCTGATAATATTTTCCTATTTGCCTTTATAACCACTTCCGAGTCCTTAAAACATTTTCACCTGAAGACTTCAAAAGGTTCATGTGTGGACCTTTTCACAACAGTCAACCCACCACCTTAACAATGACACAGATGTTCTAGCCCAAAAATCTACACATTGCCCACATACTTTCACCATCACAGTTTTGAATTAAATCATTCATGCTTTTTATCATCCCTAGAGAAAGAGAAAAAAAAAAAAGTGGTAAGCCCAGGAATTTAGATCCAAGCTACACTGAAATAACACATTTCATTTAGGAGTATGAATTGAAGTAATTACTCCATTATATTCTACTATTACTTAAATGTAAAATATAAACTCTCCTACTAATATAGGTCCTAGATAAAAACAGGGAAAATCATCCAACATGTTAAGAAGAAATTTTATAGAAATTCTCACAGTTTATCTTTAACCGATAACATCTCATGCAACTTTTACAGTTTCCACAAGTAACCTAAGCCTTGGAATCTGATCTAATGTGTAAAAAGAGAATAAAAGTTATCTCTAATGATTGTATATACATTTTTTGCAAAATTTAATGTAAGCAAAAATCATTTACACTTTTAAGATGTATATACCAGTGGAAATTTGAAAGAGTAACAACATGATTTTAAAAGACAGCAATATCAGGGCACCTGGGTGGCTCAGTCTGTTAAGAGTCTTACTCTTGATCTAGCTCAGGTTTTGATCTCAGGGTTGTGAGTTCAAGTCCTGCATTGGGTTCCATGCTGGGTGTGGAGCCTACTTAAATAAAAATTTAAAATTAAAAAGACAGTAGTATCTGTATCAAAAAATAATTTATGACTCCCTACCTTTCAGAAAAGACTAACTTGGGACTGACCAAAATAATTTCACTTTTATGAAGATTTTTGGTCTTCTTTTAAAGGCATTCAGAAAAATCAGAGACCTTTTAAAATAAGTCAAAATTATTTTTCATAACCCAAGGAAAACATAGAATTTTAAAACAGAAAAGCAGGAGGGAATTTCATCTCCTTTATGGATCTAGAGTAATGTGAGGCCAACAGTGAAAATATTAGAACCAGAGTTCCCTGTTGTCTCTTTTATTTATTTTTTAAGGTGTGGAAAATTAGAAAACAAATAAAAATATCAGTTGGTAAGAGGACAATTTTAGAATTAAAAATTATTCTCTATCTTTTTTTTACTCATTTCATGATAGTGTGATTTACTAATTAACACAGAGATTAGACCGCAGTTGAAGTTCTCTAAATTCTCATTCCTAGGAGGATTAGCTCATCCATCATGATTTCTATTTGATTTTTCATGCCTTTGCAGAAGATTACATGAAGGTTATTACTTTCCATTTGCATATTTTCTGATTAATTTATATTTGACATGCACAAGAGTATTTTTTTCACAGATATAAACACTGATTCATTTCTTTAACCCAAACGTCACAACCTACAAACTGTGAGACATAAAAGACAACTTAAACATTCTACCACATACAATAGGGAGGGAAGCACAGCAGAGATACCTAGGTAAATGTTTCTAAAAACCCGATACATAATTTTCTCTGTGTTCTTCATGCTACCAGTAGCTGACCAACAAGTCCAGAATTTCTTTCTTTGATTAAGGTGGCAATAATTGTGACTCCTTGCCTTAAACTTGCCTGTAGCCTCTGCTCATCCTGAGAAAAAAAAAAAAAGGATAAAACAATAATTATTTTAAAAAGAAAATATGTCACACATTAAATTTAATAGTTACTTTTATCTTTTAATATTTCTTCATTTTTAGTTTTTTTCCCATCAGCTTTATAGAGATATATTTGACATGTAACATTGTGTAAGTGTAGGGTGTACAATGTGATGATTTGATATACCTATATATTATGAAATGATTATCACAAAAAGGTTAGTTAATCTATCACCTCATACAGTTACCATTGAGGGGTAGTGAGAGCATTCAAGATTTAACTCTCTTAGTAACTGCCAAGTATACGATATTGTTAACTATAATCACCATGCTATACATTAAAATCCCAGAACTTATTCACCTTACAACTGGAAGTTTGTACGCTTTGATCAACATCTCTCATTTCCTCCACCACTCAGCCCCTGTCCACCACCATCCTCCTGTTTTTATGAGTTCAGGGAGCCACTTTTCAAGGTCCCCTGCTCTCTGGACTTGGCACCCTCTGGAACTCAGACCATAGCTACTGGTATGCACGTCGTCCCTCAAATAAAGGAGAAATGCTTTTGCAAGCACTTTTCATTATATACCAAATGTATCTGCTGAAGATACCAAGAAAACACTGACACAATTTCAAATCCTAGCAGTATGAAACAAAAGATTTTCCCTTGATCCAATATCTGACCAACTTTGGCTCTTCACTCAAGTGTGAATATTTCACCGATGATGCAAGCCTTTCCTTCATCTTGTTTCTGAGTGTTCTCCAACAAAAGACTTTGTTATAAACTGTGAATACTGGTCTGGGAGGAAAAATAAAAATGGCTTGTTGTTTGTGAAGTAAGGATCAGGCACATTAGTGAAATGAGTTTCTCACAAGTTGCTAAAATGTGGTTTTGCCTGTGAAATCATATTGCCTATGAATATATCTTTACTCCAACTGTTTAGGCTTCCTGAGGAGGATGAAGGGGAAGAGAAAGTCAAAACAGAGCTAATATCTTTAGGGTCTCTGTGTTGTGAATTGTGCTAGGTTCAGGAAGAGGGACCTGGTAACCAACTTCTAAATGCTGGCAACATCCTTAACACCTTTTCCTAGTGTTCAGTGTATCACTAGTACCTACTGCTTCTACCTTCTTAATGTTTCTTGAATCCATTTACTCCATTCAAACTGCTGCTGCCAGCAAAACATCTCCATCCTCAATTACTGAAACAATCTCATAAACAGCCTCTCTGAAGTCTTGTCCTCTTCTACCCTGTTTCCCACACAGCAATCAAAATACTTATTTTAACATATAGATCAGATCACCCTGCCTAAAATCCTTTCAAGGCTACCTCTGAACTTCAGGGTCAAATCAGAACCCTTTACATTTATATCCTTCCATCCTTTTTCTGCCATTCCCTTATAATCACTCAATTCCCCAAGCCACACAGAACTGCGTTAAGATTGCCCAAACAAGCTATTTTTCTAAACTTTCATTCCTTTGCCCCAGCTAATCCCTTTGCCAGGAAAGCTATCTCACTCCTTTCCTGGATTAGCTGACCCTAGTTATTCTTTGTGGTTCCACCCAGTTATCAATGGTTGCAATCTACCCGGATCCCTATCCCCCAGCCCAGTTGGGCGAGGCGAATTTCTGTTTCCACAGCTATTAATTCCTCCAGCACACTGAATTCTAATAGTCTTTTTAGTTGACCATCTATTCCCCCAGATGATGAGTTTCTTGAGGTAAAGAATTTTTCATTTTGTCTTTGAATATGGAACACTTAGTTCAATGCCTACCACATGGTAGCACTCCATAAATTATAATGAATTCAAAGCAAAGAAGGCTATGATAGAGGTATCATCACCCTTTCAGTTTAACTCATTTGTTAACACTGACCACTTTTTGGTTACTTTGTTTACTCCTATTTGCGTATTTGGCGGGACGCCTGGCAATGGTACAAAGAATATTATCAAAACCTTTCCACCACCACACCTTCATCCGCCCAGAGGCCCTAGGCTCCTCATCTATGAGGATGGTGGTGAGACCACCTCTGCTTCAACTACACTTTTCCATCAATTTCCCTGATAGTGTTCTAAGGGGTGGAGCTGGGGAAAACCCACAAGGGTTAAATCGTGGCTACTTTGCATCTTGTGAGTTTTAGTGACATTTAGTATTGAATTTCAAAGGCTGTACTGGCTTCCTGAATATCACAAGACCTAAATCACATACGAACCATTCTAAAGCCAAATATGTCTGGACTTAAAATGTGATTCACTTATATGGGAGTAGGTATCATTCATGCCACTTCATTCATAAATACATACATAAATATTCTAAAATGGAACAAAATACAAATTAACTCTAAATATGTATTTGTCCCTCTTAATGATTAATTACAATATTGCAGTTTATAATACACGTCTACGCCCGTCTTATTTATTAAATTGAGACATAGATGATGAAAATTAGTTTCCCCTTTAAAAATAAACAGAAAAAGACTATCTGTATAGCCTCTTTGAAACCAGTTTATACTTATCATAATGAAAGCAGGAGAGCAACACATGAAGAAGGGGGAAAATCTAAGAAACTAGGGCTAGAAAATCACATTTCTAAGTCTTAGAATAAATCTATTCCCATTTGATAGCTCCATAACTTACCTACCTTTAACTAATGAATTTAAGAATGTTCTTTTAAAAGTTAATTTATTTATGCAATTTCTACAGGCATCATTTGGAATGAGTGTAATTCAGTGAGAAGAACCAATGTTATTTCACTATTTTCCCTTTCTGCCTGAGCTCAATCATTTTATCCCTGAAAAATACAGAAATTCAAAAAGTGATTAAACAAGATGGTGAGACCCACCTATACTCAGGAAATTCTACTATGTACAAAGAGCAGGTGTTCAAACAATGTATGGATTTCAAAGTCATCTCAAAATTCTCTATCTCTATAAAAGCATTGCTAATGCAATTTTTAAAAAAGGTAAATTCAAACAGATCTTTAAAAAAGCATTTCTTGCTGCAGTAGATATGCAAACCACTGTTTTTAATTGAGGAGGTGGGGGGGAACAGGGTGGGGGGCCTTACAGCTGATGATTTTATTATCATTCACACACAAGTGTGTGTGTGTGTGTATGTATTTTGTGTATTCCAAATATTATATAATAAAAATATTTAATGTTAAAATTAAGTAAGCAAGGTCAACATGAATGCTGAAAAATCATGTTCACAGTACACATTCTTGATACAATGTAACGAAATGGCATTGACTGCTGTGGTCACCCTCCCCAAAACCCATAACCCCAGTCTAATCATGAGGAAAACATTATACATATTCCAATAGAAGGGCATCCTACAATATATATGACCAGTCCTCTTCAAAACTGTGAAGTTCATCAAAAACGAGTCTGAGAAAATGTCATAGACAAAAGGAAACTAAGGACACATGACCAACTAAAAGTAATAGGACATCCTGAAATTAAAGAAAATACATTAGTTAAAACTAATGAAATCTGAATAAACTATAGGACTTTAGTTGTTAAAAATAAGGGAGACTGGGTACAGGGCATATAGTAACTCTCTGCTATCCTGAACACTACAAAGTGTATTATTTTTCAAAAAAGTATGTGTTCAATTTCAAAACATTTCTCTTGATTTATACAATGTTTCTGTGCCAGAATTACAAAACTTGAGTTACAAAGTTAATTTATTTGTGTGTGCCAGCCCATTTGTATATTCCTTAAATAAAATACACTATTCTTTTCATAAATTGTGCAATCGATAAAGGCACCGACTCTAGAATGAGACTGCTGGTATTCAAATACAGCCTTTAACAATTTTCAAGTGATCTTGAGCAAATTATGTAAGTTTCACAGTTCTCCATTTTTTTCTTCTAAAAATATAATAACAATATTAGCTGCCTCACCACTTTTCTGTGGCGACTGAATCAGACAAGACACATAAACCACAGATACCTGGTAAATATCCATTGATAATAGCTGTTAGAATTATTTTTATGGTGTGCACTAACTTCGTCCATAACATCACCCTCTCATCACACATAACCATTAAATCTGATTATCTACTATATGTAAAAATACTGTTGCAGCTCTTGGACAGTAACCTATGCATGTCTCCAATCCTTGAAAGAAAATCCTATTAGGTAATATTCACCCCAGCTGTCTTGTTGAGAGAATTTTTCCAAACCATAAAGAAGAGAAATAGAGCCCAAGGAGAGAATGACAGTATATCCAGGTAGAAAAGACACAGATTACAATTTAGAGTTGTTAAGGTGGCATGGATTTGAGCAGGCAAAGTCCCTGGCAGTGGGGAGTTGCAGAGAAGTCCTAAAAATCTGCTAAGAATCCCTTCATTTCTTGGTCAACTTCTAAACTGAGCTTCTGCAGGAAGACTCAGTGGGGCTTAGCAAAGAATAACTGCTGGAAAGCTGGGGAGCTGAGCAAAGATTCAGAGCCCACACTGTACTGCGAACAAGGAGATTAGATATGAGTCCAGCTAGAATGAAGAGATCTTGCTGAATACCCATGGCTTTTGGTTGAGAGCTGTAAAAGGCCATGCCTATAGCCTGGGAATAAAGACAAAATGGAATTGAACCTGCCCTAACGAAGTTTAAACAGCTTCCAGAAGATCTGGTTTATCTCCCAATAATATAAGTGCTTGCCAGAACAAATTTTAGTATTCTTTGGAGGAAGCTAAAATAAGCTAGAGCCTTTAAAAAGTTTCATAACTCAAATATGGCATATAATAAAATCTTACCTGAGGAGTAAAGAAGCAGAAAGCAGGAGGGAAAAAAAAAAAAAACTTAAGGAGAGAAAATCATCCATATATAGGATAGTTTTCAGACATAATCCATATGTTGGAATTAGCATGCAAGGATTTCAAAATAACTATAATTAATATGTTAAAAAGAAGAGATGGAAACACTGAAGAAAAAATATACATGTTCAACATAGCATGGGAATCTATAATAAAGAATATTTTACACCTGTAAAATACAGTAT